ACTGGCCAATAGATGGGTGGTCACTTGACAGGCGTCTGATCATAGGGCTAATAGCCAGCGCAAACAGTGCCATGGCCAAAGGATCGCCCTGGCAAGTACCCTCTCGAGACAAGATCCTGTCACCACCCGGCAGAAACAACGATATTGGAGCGCCATATGTGTTTTGGAAGATTGTGGATACGGCAGGACACACCCGAGGAACGTTATGAAGCGCTGCCTGTCTGTTAACAGCATTAAATGCATTAGACGCATCTATGAACAAAATAGCCTCTGTTTCCGGATCCAAATACTGGCTCTGCACAGCAAGGACCGCAGCCTCACACGCAGATGGCATGCCCACACAAACCTGAAATGGGGCCACAGCCGCAACAACATCAGTGGAGACGCAATCCAATATAGCTTTAGCGATAATACGGCGGTGTACTTCACCAACAGCTATCGGTCTCACACCTATACTGGAAGTAGCGCCAGCAGCATCACCAGCAGACTTCTCCAAGGGAACAAGGCGAGCTGCCACGAACGCTGACAGAATCTGAGGATCGACAACCTCCCTGCAGAGTCGCTTCGCTGCTGCAGCCAACGCCGATGCAAGGTTCGCCGATGCCCCCTTGAACACCGTGAGCATTCTCTGCCAGGCAGCGACGTCCAGTCCCGATGGACCTCCCGACCCAGAACTCTTCATGCGGCCAGCTGTCTTTTTGATTTTTTCTGCTGAAATCGTTTCAAACATAATCTGGTTGGGCAGATCTGGTTCACAGTCCAACAATATTCCCTCGGCTGGATCCACAGGAGCAGGGTGCTTCTTCTGAAGCACGTCACGGACCGTCTCACCCGAGGATTGCACCGCAATATCATCAGCCCGGAGAGGTTTGCCACACCGCCCCTCTGACAAACCAGACAGAGCCTGACCCAGCCGACCACCGTGCACGAGCTTGGCAAAATCCGTGTCCGACATCCCACTGTCTCCACCACCGCCAGCAGACCCCGAGCGGGGACGCAAGTGAGCCTGGACGCAACGGGACTCCTCCAACAGTGGCTGCAAGTCACCAGCAGCCCACATGTCCATGCGCCGCTGCAGATGCTCTGTATTCTCCTTGCTTCTGCTGTGCGGCTCAGGTCGCTGCAGCAAGAGGTGACTAGCAACCGCCACACACTCCCAAGCGACACAGGCAGCTGGACCACCAGATGCAAAAGTGTTTATGAAGTCCGCGATAATGTTAACGAAACGCTTGCCAGTGGACCCCGAGGGGGTCATAAAAAGGTTCCGCTGCCAGCACACAACCTGTCCATATGCAGTCCGCATCCAAATAGCCAACTCCGCATGCCGTGACCATAGAGGAGCAACTAGGGGAGCATGAGCAACCCCAGCAACGACATGGTCACCACCATCCCCAGACTGCACAGGGCGACTCGCTCCCGAACATCGTGGGGGCGGCAGATCCACACGCAAACACTCCGAAGACACCGGCGCAGGCGCAGGAGCAGACGCATGAATATCTCCTGTTGTTCGATTGCGGGAAGACTGAGGCCCGGAACTTGGTACATGCCCAACCACGCCGCGGCGAGGCAGCGCAGATGCAGAGGCAGGAACAGACACCTGAGGATCTCCTAATGCGCCATCACGGGAAGACTGATGTCCGGAACTTGGCGCAGACCCAGCCGTCACCGCCGAGGCAGAGCTCCGAGTTGCTATTGTGCGAGAGTGTGAGCCAGATGGCGGAGGAACAGAGCCCAACACATCCCGGGAACCATGGGGCACCTAGCCAGGAGGTCGAAAAGGTGGAGCACTACACAACGATTCGTCCGCACCCATTCCAACAACTGCGGTCTGCAGATTCACGTTGCCAAAATTTGTACATTTATTATCTCTGCCAGGGTAACAGTTGCTGCAGCAGCGTCCATCCGACGCACACGAACATGACTTGCAAGTCCCAGACGCTCTGCTGCAAGCGCAGCACGGTCGACCGCTCACAGCGCGTGACCGCGACATCCCATGGACACAGCACGGGCACACTGCATGCAAGGACTTAGCCCTAGCCTTAGGTGTAAACAGTGCGTCTACATGCAATGAGTAGTGTCACCTCGACTCGTCCCATACCAAGTATGCGTCCAGAGCGCCATTGCAGGCAGTACAGGGCCAAACCACAACGTGTGCACAGCACAGCAAGCCAGCTCAAACAGGGCCCAAGGCCCGCACGCTCAAACGTGCCCAGCACGGACCAACGGCTATAATGGCCGATTCGCAGCACAAGAAACTAGTAGTAGTAGTAGTAGTAGTAGTAGTAGTAGTAGTAGTAGTAGTAGTAGTAGTAGTAGTAGTAGTAGTAGTAGTAGTAGTACTACTAGTAGTAGTAGTAGTAGTAGTAGTAGTAGTAGTAGTAGTAGTAGTAGTAGTAGTAGTAGTAGTAGTAGTAGTAGTAGTAGTAGTAGTAGTAGTAGTAGTAGTAGTAGTAGTAGTAGTAGTAGTAGTAGTAGTAGTAGTAGTAGTAGTAGTAGTAGTAGTAGTAGTAGTAGTAGTAGTAGTAGTAGTAGTAGTAGTAGTAGTAGTAGTAGTAGTAGTAGTAGTAGTAGTAGTAGTAGTAGTAGTAGTAGTAGTAGTAGTAGTAGTAGTAGTAGTAGTAGTAGTAGTAGTAGTAGTAGTAGTAGTAGTAGTAGTAGTAGTAGTAGTAGTAGTAGTAGTAGTAGTAGTAGTAGTAGTAGTAGTAGTAGTAGTAGTAGTAGTAGTAGTAGTAGTAGTAGTAGTAGTAGTAGTAGTAGTAGTAGTAGTAGTAGTAGTAGTAGTAGTAGTAGTAGTAGTAGTAGTAGTAGTAGTACTACTACTACTACTACTACTACTACTACTACTACTACTACTACTACTACTACTACTACTACTACTACTACTACTACTACTACTACTACTACTACTACTACTACTACTACTACTACTACTACTACTACTACTACTACTACTACTACTACTACTACTACTACTACTACTACTACTACTACTACTACTACTACTACTACTACTACTACTACTACTACTACTACTACTACTACTACTACTACTACTACTACTACTACTACTACTACTTTAATACTACTACTACTACTACTACTACTACTACTACTACTACTACTACTACTACTACTACTACTACTACTACTACTACTACTTATACTGAAATGTGTTTTTATTGAAATCACAAAGCAATGAAGATGTGAATGCAAGGAGGGCAATGAATTCAAAAGGTGAACAGCAAAATTGTAACAAAATAGAAAGATAACAAATATTAATGGCAACAGCAATGTTTATACATGAAAAAGGGGAAGGAAAAGGAAAGAAAAACGTCCAAACCAGAACTGCTTGAACACCGCCAGAAATGAAACCGGGATTCATACAAAAGAAAAAACTTCAGAACACCGGAAAACAAACTTTAGATCACATTTTGACATTATACGAGATGATGACAACGAAAAACTATGCCCTAGAGAGCACACGGCAGTCATTCACAAAGCTCGCCGAGCGCTTAGAGCGATAGGAGGACCTAGAGCCACGTAAACAGGTGATACACCAGCGAAGTAGGCAGAATGACAAACGGCATCGCAAATGATTGACAACAACAGAATACACCAAATCAGCATTTTTCTCTAGAATACGGCCAACCAATGCCTTCAAAAACACGGAATACTCCTTCCCTATCATGCCGTTGGTCGCAAATACCAGAGGGGTGAATGTGCCCCGATCGATCTGATTCACTCGCTCTGCGTAATGCCGCTTTTTTTCCCGCTCATTGCGCTCCAATTGGCTCATGGCTTTTTCACGAGACAGCAAGGTGGCCCTGGGATGCGTTACCCGGATATCGAAGAAGGCCTCCTGCTGCCGCGTCCAAAAGCCACGAGCCCTGACGTCAAGCCGCGCTTCCTGGGATCGGTTAGATGTTGACCATGCCAATGTCTCACCACCAAATGGGAGAAGGTTGGGCTCGATTGCCACATCGGGACTTACACTTCTGAGTAGCTCAGCGATGAGATCACGTATCTCATTATGCCTTGCGGTGGGATAGCCACCACAAGGGCACACCATGGCATGGTCAGTCGACAAGTTAGCTCCGCATACACAGTTCGTTGGAAGACCATCAAGCGGTAGACCGTACCGAAGCGCCACAGCATCTCGAAAATCTGATTTGTTAAGTGTTGTGCCATGGGCGGACCTTGGTTCAACAGTCAGCCAGGAGGACACGCCCTTCTCACCAGCTATCTCCACCAAGAATCGCTGGTCTGGCGTCAGGTGATCATGTACTGTGGCCAGGATCTCTATGTCCCTAGCGTCTCTCTTCTTCTTGCCTTCTCTTAAACGCTGGCGAGTCTCCATCACAGCCTCGCTAACGCTAGCATCGCGTGACGGAATTTCCATTGAAGCTGACGGTGGCCGGTGCGGAAGCCATGATGAGGTGAGAGACTCATCAGCGGTTTCATTGTTGACTGTGTGACGCGGCGGACGCAGTGAGAGCCAAATCTCTGACGCATCACCTCCATCCAGAGAACGAACATCACCGCGCTCCCGGTCAGCAGAGACAATATCCACCGACCCAGAATTCAGCGGCATAGCTTCCACGTTGTTGATGTTAGTTACTGAGTTCCGCTCCACTGCCTCTCCGGACGATTCCTCATCCGCCAATTCGACCTCGGCCAACTCCTCAGCTGCATCTGGCCGGCTCGCAGCCGTTCGCGTGCTATCGGCAGCAAGCTGTGGCACGGCTGCCTCAATTATTGGGCGCACGGCTTCGGTACACTGCGAATACTCACCCTCACATAATGGTGCAACTGGGGGGATGCCTAGCCCGCCACGGCGGCATGGAAGTCCCATAAGCTGACGAAGGGGATCGTCACTGCTTAGAGACACACCAGCAATGGCAGGCAGCAGGGAATTATTAACTACTACTACTACTACTACTACTACTACTACTACTACTACTACTACTACTACTACTACTACTACTACTACTACTACTACTACTACTACTACTACTACTACTACTACTACTACTACTACTACTACTACTACTACTACTACTACTACTACTACTACTACTACTACTACTACTACTACTACTACTACTACTACTACTACTACTACTACTACTACTACTACTACTACTACTACTACTACTACTACTACTACTACTACTACTACTACTACTACTACTACTACTACTACTACTACTACTACTACTACTACTACTACTACTACTACTACTACTACTACTACTACTACTACTACTACTACTACTACTACTACTACTACTACTACTACTACTACTACTACTACTACTACTACTACTACTACTACTACTACTACTACTACTACTACTACTACTACTACTACTACTACTACTACTACTACTACTACTACTACTACTACTACTACTACTACTACTACTACTACTACTACTACTACTACTACTACTACTACTACTACTACTACTACTACTACTACTACTACTACTACTACTACTACTACTACTACTACTACTACTACTACTACTACTACTACTACTACTACTACTACTACTACTACTACTACTACTACTACTACTACTACTACTACTACTACTACTACTACTACTACTACTACTACTACTACTACTACTACTACTACTACTACTACTACTACTACTACTACTACTACTACTACTACTACTACTACTACTACTTGAGAACGGTTTTATTCACAACACCATGAAGTAAGAGTCAAAGCAAAAAGACAACCCAATTTCGGAATAAAATAGAACACTCAATTGAAATATAAAACTTTGAGCTCAAAAGCTTCACACGAAATCATCACCTAATAACAATGCCTACGGGCATGCAACTACTACTACTACTACTACTACTACTACTACTACTACTACTACTACTACTACTACTACTACTACTACTACTACTACTACTACTACTACTACTACTACTACTACTACTACTACTACTACTACTACTACTACTACTACTACTACTACTACTACTACTACTACTACTACTACTACTACTACTACTACTACTACTACTACTACTACTACTACTACTACTACTACTACTACTACTACTACTACTACTACTACTACTACTACTACTACTACTACTACTACTACTACTACTACTACTACTACTACTACTACTACTACTACTACTACTACTACTACTACTACTACTACTACTACTACTACTACTACTACTACTACTACTACTACTACTACTACTACTACTACTACTACTACTACTACTACTACTACTACTACTACTACTACTACTACTACTACTACTACAACTACTACTACTACTACTACTACTACAATACGCCTTCAAGCAGGGGAGCCTGTTGGCGACAGACCCAACACTATCAACGGATAGTCGTCGATTTTTGACTGGCCGGTTGGATAAGTGCATGCATGCACAGAGGCATATAACAAGGTTTGAGGACATCTGCGAGTGTGCGAAAGAGAGGTGTATTAGCACCTGGACTGTATGCGGGCCACAAATTGCATCGAAGAGTATAAAAAAGAAATGAATAACGACCCTAGCAGTTACCTCCCTAAATCGCATTTAGCTGGTATTCGAATGCTATGTTGTGCACATGACTTCATATAGATTTCGTTTTGGCCAGTCACTCTAAGCTCCTCTGATTAAACAAAAGGATGTCCAGAAATCAAACATGTGAACACTAAGGACTCAGCTTTCCAAAGCCGTTTTGAACAAAAAAACTCACACGAAACTTAGTATATGTCGGATAGTGTAAAACAATGTTTGCTTCAGCCCAACCATTTCCCTGATCAGCTGTCCTTGAAAATAGCCTGTGGGTAGAGGATGCACTTTCCCAGTTCACAACCAGTGTTCCATTAGTTGTCTTGTCATCGCTATCCATGTTGTACCTACAGAACAAAGAATACTATCATTTTTCCCGTAGCTATGCAAAACACTCCTTTCAAGGCAGTGTTTACATGAGGCGTTTCAACCCGGGTTGAGTTCGACCCGGGTCAGATTTCAACCCGCCATGTACACAAAATGATTGGCGCGTTTACATGACGCATTGAGCTTCACCCGGGTTGGAATTTCTCATGTAAACACAACCTGTGTTTACATGAGAAATTTCAACCCGGGTCGAGTTCAGCCCGGGTTGAAAGTCTGCACGACAGACAAAATAGGTAAGCGTTTACAGTCCGTTTCAAAAAGAAATGCAATCCCGGGGAGCGCTCGCCGAGTTTACGGTTTTACCGTAGGAGCTGCCAGGAAAAACTCGTTCTGAAATCGAAGAAATATTGCGCGGCAAGTACGAAAAATCCGCGGGCCACGCGAGTTTGCATAAAACGTGCAAGGCACGCTGTGCACTTCTCTTGTTTGATTTATTTGATAAACATTGTCGATTATCTTCTGCCATGCCTCGCCTTGGAGAGGGAGAGAAGTCGATAGTTCGCAATGTTTACGCCTTCTTTCAGTTGGAGAAGTCAGGTGGTCGTCGTGATCGTGGTGCTGCGAAATCGCTGGCCGTCCGAACAGCCATGGCGTGCAGAATTACAACGGCGGCTGTCAACCATCTTCGTCGAGTATCTGGTACGAAGCAGGGTAAAGCTCGTGGCCGCCCTTAAGTTGTTGTGGACGAGTTCACGAGGAGCGTCATCCGGGGGAAAGTCCATGGATTCTACTCCAAGCGTGAGCACCCCACTGTGGACAAAGTGTTTCCTCTGTGCAAGGAAGACAAAGACTTTCCAAAAATGTCACGAACGACATTCTGGAGAGTTCTGAAGTCGATTGGCTTTCACTATGTGCAGACGAAGGGGAACACTCAGATATTATGGAGCGGACTGATATTGTTGCTTGGCGTCATCGCTTCCTGCGTCGGATCAGGCAAATTCGTCGGGAAGGCAGACCAATTGTTTACCTGGATGAAACCTGGATCAATGCCCATCATGCTGTTTCTAGGAAATGGTGAGTCTTCCCAAATTTATAAATTCATGGCACTGATGTAGTGTTTGTAACAGTGAAATTTGTTATTGCTGTATGTATCTTTGGATATAAGTGGTGATGAGAACTATTGAAGATGGTTTCGTTTTATAGGTGTTGCATGTATGTTTTCACTATTGGATCATTTTCTCAATATGTTCTGGTTCTGTAAGAAGTTACATGTATTAAAATGTTACTGAGAGAACATTTGTGTTGTACACTTTACTGTAGGTATCTGAAAGATGCAGCAGGAGGTGACAAGCAACCCCATGAAGCTCCGTCTGGGAAGGGCAAGCGTCTCATAATCTTGCACGCTGGTTGGAAAGGTGGCTTTCTACCAGGGTGTGAGTTGGTGTTTGTGGGAAACACCAAATCTCATGATTACCATGATGAGATGAACGCGAAGCACTTCGAAGAGTGGTGGACGCAGAAGCTACTGCCTTCAATTCAACAACATCTACCGGCAGGTGAGCCAACTGTTCCCTTCTTTTTTGTTCTGTTTGTTACATATGTGAGTTTTATTTCCAAATTGTTTTAGTGAAAACTGCCGATTGCAATTTCCATTGATCATAATAGTGGTTGTGTTTCAGAATTGGAACCTTTTCATATTATAATAGGGCCATGGTGTTTGATTAGTGTTTTTTTGTCCATCTTCATTGTTCTACTGCAGGTGCGGTCATTGTCATGGACAATGCACCGTACCATACGCGGAAGACGCAGGCATCCAAGTGCCCCACCACATCGTCGCGGAAAGCGGAGATCCAAGAGTGGTTGAGCCAGCGTGCTATCCATTGGACTCCGGACATGGTGAAGAAGGAGCTTCTTGATTTAGTTAAGTTGAATAAGCCTAGTCCTAAATATGTGTGCGATGAGGAAGCTGAAAAGCAAGGGATTGATGTCCTTCGCCTTCCTCCTTATCATTGCATTTTCAATCCTATTGAGTTAGTATGGGCTCGGCTTAAGGGTAATGTAGCCAATATCAACAAAACGTACAAGATAGGTGACGTACAGGAGCATGTTCACAATGCGTTTGCAAGTCTGAAACCTGAATTGTGGCCAAATTGTTGCCGACATTGTGACGCACTTGTTGATCAATCATGGGTTAATGACGGTTTGCAAGATGAGATGATAGATAAGATCATCATTGAACTAGGTGATAGTGACGATAGTGACGATAGTGATGATGACGACGGAGATGACGACGAAGACCTTGTCCATGAAGATGACGACGATGATGATGATGATGATGCTAATGATGATGCAGGTAATTAAGTTTTGTGGTTCTTTTTCCTGTTCTGTGCTTGAGTTTTTGTGATTTTACAGGTATTCATCCCAAGTGGTGATGGGTTTTCACCACAGTTCAACCGGCGGTCTCGAGGTCCCTTGCGTGAGGAACTCCCGCCATTTTCCTAATCAACATTCCAATTACCGCTATCTTCTGGAAGAACGCTCTCTCTACTCACTGTCAATCCCTTATTACAAAGGATATCAGTGTGGACAGTGGAATATACCGTAAAACAGCATACATCTTATTACACTTCTTTCCTGCAATATGATGATTTCTTTTGATCTTTATGACAACCCCATTTCATTATTGCCATTTCAAATTTCATTATTGTTATTAACTTATTACTATTGCCAGGTCTCATTGTTGTGGTATCAATGTATGCATGCTCTTATACCATTAACTTTCCAACAAATTAAAAACAACTGGAAACCGAGCACAGACGTGTGTATGTGTCTTTGCGTGTGTTTCGTGTTCGTGCACAAGGAAGCAAGATTGTGGGTGGGTGGCTATGACAGACAGATTATATTGAGTCACACTCTACTGTACTTTGGTCTTTGGTCTTATTATATCTATGATATATCTATGATAGTATTGTGCGTCACAACAAGACATCTCGGATCTCAATGCAATACTTCTCTGTGCTTTTATAGTGCCACAAAATCAATGGAAAAAGAAAAAGAAATAAAATTGAAGATAGGCTGGGGTTTGAACCCACAACTTCATGGTCCACAGACAGCAAAACGATAGAAAAAAAGGTTATGAGTTGAAGATAGGCTGGGGTTTGAACCTACAACTTCATGGTCAGCAGACAGCATGCATAACCACGAGGCCAAACAGACATACGTAAATCGCGGGTTTTTGATAAAAATCGCTACTGGCTTCCTGGGCAAAGTCGAAACCATTGGAAAAGGCCGGAAACCTGGCCGAAATTCTAACTCCTTAACGGCTGGTCCAATTGTTCCGAAACCTTCACAGAACAATTTGCCGTGTCCTAACAAGCCGTTCTATGTACTTTGTTGTCCAAATTTCTCTTATCATCATACTTTTTAGGACCCAAACCTGATTGTAAATCTTTTTGAAACAGACTGTACATGAGGACAGTTTACCCGGGTCAAATACTGATATGCCGCCAAAAGTCCACCTCTACAGTCCTGTATGGTCACGTGAATCCGTTCGCGCGAAATTTGCATCTGCAGTGCCGTTCAAACCTGGCGCGAGATACGCACAGAAGTACGTTTGTACGATTTTCTTGACCCGAGTTGATTTCAACCCTCCCCTTGGGGGAGGGTTGAAATCAACCCGGGGCGAAATTTCAACCCGGGTCAAGCGCAATGCGTCATGTAAACGCGCCATTCATTTTACGCACATGGCGGGTTGAAATCTGACCCGGGTCGAACTCAACCCGGATTGAAACGCCTCAGTAACGCCTGGCGCTAGCCAGGGTCCACACAGCTTTAATTCGGTATTTGTTTGCTTATTTGTGCCTGACGACAGAATGCCTGACACCATCCCGTAACTGTCCCATACCGTACCATCAAAGACAGCTGGCCACCTTATTTAGGCCTCATTTACACGACAGCTGAAAAAAACGTTTTTCAATCATTTATGAAACGTTTTTCAATCGTTTATGAAACGTTTTTGCTGTTTACACGAAAACGATAAGCGTGAAGACTGCAACGCGTTTTTCGGCGCGCAATGGCCACGTGCAATAAGTTGGCCTGGTGCAGGCTGGCGGTGGCAGGTTTTGAGTGCAAGGCTCGTAGTAGTAAAACGTTTTTGCCGTTTACGCGAGAAAGAAACGGAACGAAAACGATTGAAAAGCACTTTGAAGGTCGTTTTTCGCTTGAAACCTTTTAGAAACATTTTTCAGCGTTATCGTGTAAGCGCTCCTATCAAAATCTGTGGAAGCGTATACTTTTCAAAACGTTTTTGACAAAAAGGTTCTTCAGTCGTTGCCGTGTAAACGAGGCCTTACATAGGGCTTTCAACTGCAAGATGATAACGTAGTCAACTTCGCTTACAACGACACTCGGCGGGGCATCAGAAAAGTGTCCTTATTCGCGAAGTGTCGTTATACCCGAAGTCTCATTATATGTGGCACAGTTAGATGGGACTTTGCCCTGGGCATGAAAATTATGTCGTTATTCGCGAATTGTCGTTATATCCGCAGTAGTTATTAGCGAAATTTACTGTATGTGAAGTGTATGGGGCGAATGCATGCAGGGCCATAGTGCGGGTTCAAATCCCACGTTATGTCGGATAAAAAGAAGCATTATCACTAAGGTTTCATTGAGATGTCACGAACAAATTATAGTAGTGTCAGTTTGTTCTTGGCCCTAGTAGTTTTCAGACTGTGTTTTTGTTCGGCTTGTCTTCGTTCAGCGTCGAAATGTTTTCAGGTTCTCCTTCCGGTTCTGAGGAAGCTGATCCTGAGCTGGTGACAGACAATGAGGTGAGTAGAGCGGCGTTGGATAGCGGATCCACGTCCAGACTTAGTGTTATTGTGCGTTTCAAAAGTATAGACCTCTAGACTTTTTCAAATAATTCAAATTAGGATTGAGATTTTTGAAACATTTCTTCGGGACTTTGCTCGGTCAATTTTCGCAATTTTCCTCATATGAGTTTTGAAACGATGGTACAACTTTCATTTTTGGCGGGAAATACCTCGCATTCAGAATCAAATTGGATACCGGTACTCAAGGAATTGAGTCATTTTTATTAATTGCTAGTCATCAATGAATAGTGAAATGCCGCCGTTAACCACCTGGAACCCCATACACGGCCAATCGCAGTGTCCCTCAGGGTCGGTCCTGGTCTGCCAGTACGAGATGGACTCGTCAGGTGGCCGGTATAAGCACCCAACTAGTTTTTGCCTTCGTCGCCCTTTGACTTCGATCCAGGATGATTCAATGTTAGAGTCGGAAAGCTCTGGGCGCGGTTTTATCTGGAGTCCGGAACGGAGATAAAAGCATACACCGCCACCTCTGTGTACCGGGCGATCGTGCCATATCACACAGTAACCTGGTATATCAATATCACTGTCTGACGTTGTGCTGTCAAGCCAGGTTTCTGCGACGCCAAATATTTCAAAGTTGTATTGCTGCAGGATATCAGTGACCTCAGCTACTTTGTTTCGAAGAATACAAACATTCACAAAGCCACGATTTATGAAGGACTGTGTCAGTGGGGTAATGCGGTGAGCAGGGGCAGCAGGAAGAAGGGTTATCCTGGGTACAAGAGCCATGAGGTTTCTGCTGAGGGGGAGGTCGAACTTCGGTGCCGTTTGCTGTTATTGCCTGCGTTGCTGCTGTCCTTAGTGCAGTCAGCCAGTAAAGCCATCGCTCTGTCTTCGTCCTTATCAGGATCAGAGTGGGCCAGAGATGTGGTGGGGTTAGGCTGCTGTGCGGAGGGCATGGTGGCTCCTCTCTCTGACTCCTAAACCCAGCTGCTGTCGGGGGACAGAGCTAGAGTGAAATTGGGTTGACCTTCGGTGCCTCCTGCCGAGGCAGGTTCCGATTCCCCAGATGCATCCCTTTCCGCATCCAATCCTCCTACAGCAGATGAGTACGAGTACGGTTTTTCTGACCCCATGCCACTAGCACTGGCAAGCTGGCGGTTGGCTGTGGTACCAGAGCTCATAGACGGTGTTTGCGCCGGTATTCTCACTCACAACACAGAGTCTGAGGTTTATAGAATATTATCACTAGGAGAAGACTGTATCCATTGCAAACTGATTGCAATACTTCAAAAGGCTAGCTACTACCTGGTAGTAACAGAAACAGCCAAAGAGAAAGAAAACAACAACTGCACCCGCAAGCTCTTTCCTTGCACTAACCCAAATACATCAAAATCAAGCAGCAAAATGCAAATCCGCACGCATGTTTGCCGGAACTGAACTTCCGTAGCGCAGCTGATCATTGCGGCTGCACGGGACGACCATCCCACCACAGTAGGGCAAAGAACTATGCCCATATGGAACTAGCAAAGAATGCATGCAGCACACCAGCATGCTGTCCCTACGCAGACGTCTAGTCTAGCGTGAGCAAGGATGAATAGCATGAGAAACCAGCGGGTGTAGTATGAAAGGCAATGCAGCAGTTATGAATAGGGACATCAACAGGACACAACACACAGTAGTCATGCGCAGGCTGAGGTAACTGAGGGCCGGGGAACAGTACAGACATGTGCACAACAGCATCTAGGTTTACTACTACCCAAGGTTATTCATGTCTTGGTCTAAACTGAGCAAGTTACTAGTGGAGATCTGCGGGATGACTTGGTCGTACCAACAGACGGGTTGCCAAAGTCGCCTCCGGGGATCCGTTCCCGAGGTGGCTCTGGAGAACACGGATGTTTGAATCGATTTTTCGGGGCAGAGCGACAGGTTGTTTTTCCTTTTTACCTTGAGACGTGTGTTTCCTTCCCTTTGGTACAGTTATTTGTAGCAACCGGGGATGGGTCAGAATGATCACTGTTGTGCTGTGGGTTGCTCGACAAGGAGAGTGAAAGGAAAGAAGATCAAATTTCATTTTCTCCCTCGTAAGCCGACAGTGCGAGCCATTTGGCTCACAAGAATCAATAGAAAAGATCTGGTGCCATCCAAGGACACTTGCTTGTGCTACAAGCATTTCCACAACGGTGAGAAATCCAATGACCAACCATATCCGGTATATTTCTCCCACAAGTCGTATCCTTTGTGTAGGAAAGCTCCAGAAAAGACACTGTTGAGAAAATGTCCGAAGTCTAAGCCCAAAAAAGCCAATGCCAATGCCAAGAAACCAAGCAGCAGGTCGAAGTTAGTGCAGTTGATGGCCAGGAACACCTTGTGTTTTTTATCCTTCGTCTGGCTTGCCCAACAAAATGCACTGACTACAGCATCATCATCCGCTTCAGACAATGACATTGTCACAGCATGAACAAAACCCTCCTTTGCAAACTTCTGCCCTCTCTTCAACGTTCTACCACTACCAAAAATTCTCTTTATAGTTCCAATCGTCAAACCTTTGAACACGCGCCGAGTTTCATGAATCAACACACCGGAATTTGAGAAATTGAATATACTTCAGGCCAGGTTGTACACAAATATGCTTCACGCCTACGATCATGTTGCCGCCAAGTCGTGGCACCCCCCTCCGGAGGTCGCGGTCACGATTTGAAACGTGGCCGCGACGTTTTGGTCAAGTTCATGCCGTTGCCATGCAACTTGGCCGCATGGCCGCATGGACGCTGGTTTTGGTCGCAGTGTGAGCGTGCCCTTACACGACAACGATTGAAAAACGTTTTTGAATCGTTTTCGAAACGTTTTTGCTGTTTACACGAAAATGATAATCGTGTACACTGCAACATGTTTTTCGGCGCGCAATGGTCACGTGCAATAAGTTGGCCTGGCGAAGGCTGGCGGTGGCATGTTTTGAGTACAAGGCTTGTACTAGTAAAACGTTTTTGCCGTTTACACGAGAACGAAACGGAACAAAAACGATTGAAAAACACTTTGAAGCCGTTTTTCGGTTGAAACGTTTTTGAAACGTTTTTGAAACGTTTTTTAGCGTTGTCGTGTAAACGCTCTTATCAAAATCTGTGGAAGCGTATTCTTTTGAAAAAGGTTTTGAAAAAAACGCTTTTCAATCGTTGTCGTGTAAACGAGGCCTGAGAACCCTTCGTGCAGGATTTTTTCCTATCAGGAGACCCGTGAATCAATGCATACTGGCTTATGGCCGAAGACAATGCACCATCATGCAGGTGATACGGATAGTCAAACAAATGCAGGCTAATGAGCTCGGTGTCTCCAATGACAATATCTACGGGCTTACCAGCAATTTTTGAAAGAAGTGGACACAAGGTGATCTCTGGCGGCGGCATGATTGGGGGTGACAGTGCACCAGCCTGGTCGGCCATGCAGGTCCACTTGCTGGAGTTCCTCTGGCTTGACTCCATTACTAGCTAGTTCCTTAAAGGGGAAGTTAAGGCAAAAATTAAAATTTCACCAGTTGTAGTCTTCGGGATGCTGAGTCGAATCGTCTTGGTCCGAGAAAGCTGAGACGCTCCCTTCCTACTTGAATCCCAATCGAACTCGCGCACTTCCACCGAAACTGGGTGACTGCGCCCTACTAGATGGGGATTTGTATGCAAAATGTCACTAAAAGCGCCATTTCGTTCTTATAAAAGCATGGATGACCGCGATTGGCCCATATGTTGTAGTCTTTTGGACGCTGAGTCGACTGGTTTTGATCCGAAAAGGCTGCGATGCAGCGTTCCTCCTTTATTCCCAATCGAACATGGTTGAAGAAGCGGTCACGTGCTCCTGGGTGCCCAAATCACCTGGTCACCACGCCAGCAGGCGACAACTTCACACCAAGGTTCAACTCGAGTGACAGGACTGCACCCAAAAAAGGTCAAACAGGCTAGTAAGTTGTACCCTGCAGGCACGGTGACCAGGTGACTGGCGTACGCAGGAGCACGTGACCGCTTGTTCAAGTTTCGGTGGAAGTGCGCGAGTTCGATTGGGATTCAAGTAGGAAGGGAGCGTCTCAGCTTCCTCGGACCACGACCATTCGACTCAGCACCCCGAAGACTACAACTGGTGAAATTTTAATTTTTGCCTTAACTTCCCCTTTAATGAAAAATACGTGATCGATCTCCCAAAGAGGATCAAATTGAAAGTAAAAAGTGACGCGAGGCGGAGCTCCAAAAGTGCTCCTGCCCGCCATTGCACTAAATTTTTTTTCACCGACAGGATTATGTGCAGCCATTTTGACAATCAATAAAATTGCACATACACGATGCACTGGACATAGCCTTGCAGTTTGCGCCATTACTTTGCCTGATAAAGACCTCATCTCAACAATTGTTTCAAGAAATGTCTCAGCCCAAAGCACTTTTGAAGCTTGATTTCTTCGGTCCTACCGGTAGGACAGTATGCAAGCTATCAATAATGGCTTCTGTACTTTGTGTGATGATTTGCTTTCCTCCAACCAAGAATCTACAATACTATATTTGGCTCGCCTGTGTATCATTGTTGGTGCTATTTTCTCAGACTAAGTTATACTAGGAGTAGACCAAAGACTTACCAGAAAGACACTGTACATGCTCTGCTTATAGTAGTATACCAGGGTGAATGAAGAGTAGACACTTTAGTAGTATTATCACCGATATCAATTGATAGGTAATGACCAGAGCCTGAGCAAAACAAGAACAATGATGAGAAAATTACACTAAAATAGGTGATATTGAAGCAGCATGCAAGGTGCAGGTGGAAAAGAGACAGGATGTGCAAGCGCGTTAACATCCGTGATGCCCAAGTACCAGGCATTGCGAGATCAAGTAGTGCGAGGCGATCTACAATCATATTAATTTATCAGAGTGATACGGGTGCTGACAACTACTATCAACTTCATGTGGCTATGTGTTATAGAGACTAACTTCGTGTGGCTATGTGTTATAGAGATAAACTTCATATATTATGGCTATGTGTTATAGAGATAAACTTCGTGTGGCTATGTGATATTGATATGCAACGTGCCACTTGTGAATTTCAAGAAACATTTCAATTACTTGTTAAGTCATACAATGACACAAGAGAGATTGGAAGATGGGACGCAACTCTGAGTTTCGACGATCATCAGGAAACAGATGGCTCCAAAACGGGCACCCCGAACATAAGGGGGAGCAAGGCGGGGAATTCTGAAGGGTATCATAGCGCAAGAGTCAGGTGCAGGCGTGAAGTTGCCAAGCCTTCAGACTCGGGGCTATGCAGCAACAGTTTCAGCGTGAATATTATAGAATAGAGCTGGGGACTTAATTGCCAAATCCACACACAAATTCACACCATTACACACACATACACCCACACTCTCTCCCTTTTCTCACATACACATACACCCATACACACACGCACATGCACGCAAACACACACACACACACAATCGTACTTGTACTTGTTGCTCACTGCCAAAACTGGTCACGTGGGTCTCCTCGGGAGAGGGGAGAGAGACTCAAAAGGAATCTTGGAAAGATGACTCAATTGGCTATTGAATCGCCCAACGGCCAACACCCCCTTAAATCCCCAAAACTCTGGATGGACTTGAAAACGATCCCACTTATGGGCTCACCACACCTCAGTTGCTTCTAGTGTGGATCTGAGATAAGCTTCACTAGCACCATTGATTACACAAGAGTTAATCTAGCCAGAAGCAGTCCATGGTTAACAGGTGTGTATACTTCAAATAGAAAGTA